TAACAGAAAATATTTGCTGAAGTACTTAGGAATGAAATGTCATATATTTGATTTCTGCTGTTGGAGATAAAGAAGTGATACTCCAAGTCAGATAGTTCAGGTTCTGTATCTATGGCTTTTTCTTCTTAGCTGCTTTCCTAGGACTGTTCTCTGGCTTCTTAACAATTTCATTAGTTCTTGATATGCTTCCAAATACATTCTTTTTTTGCTTCAGTCTGTCATTGCAACCACGGACCCTACGTATGTATACAATATACACCACACAAAGAGAAGTTTACTCCACATAGTTTTAATCAAATGCATGTATTTTGAAATACTTTAGGGTGATGTATGGTGTTCATGCCTACTAGTTAAAAGGGTCAAAAGAGAACTTTAGAGCACATTCCAACAGATCTGTCTCTCTCCATACAAACTGAACATAGCATCAGCGATCCTTTGCCTTAAATTTTCCTTCCTTATTGGTGTGTCTTCTGATCATTCATTTCAGTATACTTCAGGTACATCACGTAAACAAAACGCACTGGAATTCATTTGCCAAGGGACACATGGTTAAGAACATGAACCACTGGCTTGCAGTTTGGATAAACTTGCCCAGCACTGACAAAACCCATTAGGACTTACGTTTGTCTTCCACAAGAGCAAGTGAAGAGAAAAACACCAATGTGTGACTCCTCAAGAAGAGAAATTAACATTTTAATGATTTACTAGGTACAAAATACATTTGACACCTTTTTAATCCTCACAATGACTCTGTGATATAAGAGTTGTTATGTCCATCTTGCAGATGGACTAGAGGCCTCACGCAAGCAGTAGAGTGACTGCTTTGTTGAATGGCTGTTTTGCTTTGCAAGTGCAAGGCCCTGAGTTCAAGCCCCAATCCCACCAAAAAAAAAAAAAAAAGTATGCAGTCCATTCTTCAAATGAGGAATCTGCACATGAACAGGAGGTTTGACCCTACATCAAGTCCAAAGCCATGCTTTTGTGTTTATTTCTTTTTCATGCAAATGTCTCAGAGTGGATGAGGTACAAATGGACTTCTTGAGCATACTGATTTCCCAAAATTAGAGCAGAATGTCAAAGGCCAAATGTCCATTCCCTCATTCCAGTGGGAAGCAAGGAAAGTTGTGAAGAAAGGAAAAAACTTCTTCCTTAAAAAAAAAAAAATTAAAGAATAAAAAAGGACTTTTGTATCCTGCAGATCTAAGTATCAATGGTGTGAGTCCAAGGTCTGAAAGTTACTGCAGTTCTTTACTTTTTGCCAGTCTTCAAAATGACACCTTAGTCCCAGTGTAGGAGCCATAGCTCCATAAGAAACTCATCCTATAATTGTTTTTTATGGTACTGGGGTTTGAACTCAGGGCCTCATTGCTTGCTAGGCAGGTTGCTCTATCACTTGAGCCATTCTGCCAGCCCAATTCCAACAGGAAATTTCCATATCAATACATGAGTTAAGATGTTTTTCTATTGTTTTTTACAATCTGGTCATTAGTAAGTAGCCACTGCTTTCAAACTGGAAAATAAAAATTTTGACTGGGCCAGAATACTCTATTTTTGGGCTAGATAGCACTTTGAAATAGAGGGCAATAACTTCACCGTTAGGTTCCTTTTTTTTTTGTTTTCTTTTTTATTTTATTCATATGTACATACAATGTTTGGGTCATTTCTCCTCCCTTTCCCCACCCCCCTCCCTTTCCCCTGCCCCCTCGCTTCCAGGCAGAAACTATTGCCCTTATCTTTAATTTTGTTGAAGAGAGAGTAAGCAATAATAGGAAGGAACAAGGTTTTTGCTAGTTGAGATAAGGATAGCTATACAGGGAGTTGACTCGCATTGATTCCCTGTACATGTGTGTTACCTTCTAAGTTAATTCTTCTTGAACTAATCTTTCTCTAGTCCCTGGTCCCCTTCTCCTATTGCCTCAGTGGCTGTAAAGTATCTGCTTTAGTTTCTCTGCGTTGAGGGCAACAAATGCTATCTAGTTTTTAGGTGTCTTACCTATTCTCACCCCTCTCTTTTGCTCTCGCTTTATCATGTGATCAAAGTCCAATCCCCTTGTTGTGTTGCCCTTGATCTAATGTCCACATATGAGGGAGAACATATGATTTTTGGTCTTTTGGGCCAGGCTAACCTCACTCAGAATAATGTTCTCCAGTTCCATCCATTTACCTGAGAATGATAACATTTCTAGGCTCCCTTTTTTGACTTTTTTTTTTTGGTGGGACTGGGGTTTGAATTCAGGCTTCACGCTTGTAACGCAGGTGCTCTACCCCTTGTGCCACAACTCCAATTCATTTTTACTCTGGTTATTTTGGAGATGGGGTCTCCTGAACTATTTGCCCAGACTGGCCTCGGATCTTGATCCCCCCGATCGCAGCCTCTCAAGTAGCTAGGATTATAGACCTGAGCCACTGAAGTCCAGCTGCTTTTCGACTTTTTAAAGGGGTGATCCTGTTATCAATAAGGAACAAATACCAGGTAAAGGACAAATGCAATTATAGAAAACAGTTTCAAGTACCGTACATTGGGGTTACACAAGAATTCAAAGTGAGTGCCCTGAGAGTCAGGGGCCCTGAGGTGTGGGGCAGAACTCATACGTCTGAATTCCAAGTCCAGGTTCTTTTCTTAGAGAAAAACCAGGAAATGACTTCACAGTTTTCCAGACAATCAATATCCTTCACGTTTCCCAGTAGGACGCCCCCAGGGCCTGAGCCACGCCCACACGTGCGAGTCTGGCCAAGTGGCGGCTGCACGTCACGACTGAACACGGCCAGGCCCCTCCCCCTGCCCCGCCTCGCCCCGCCCCCGTCCTACCCCGCACAGCCACGCACTGCCACGCCCCGGCACTTTCGCGGCTTCCTGGGCGCACGGCTGTGGGCGAGCGTTGCGCATGCGCGAGGTGGGAACATAGTTTCTTCTGCCTCACCACTTCTCTGCAGGGGTGGCTTAGCAAGGGCGTGCTTCCGGGTCGAAGGGTTTGCTACCGGAAAGCGGGACGGCTGAAACGCGGCGGCGAAGCTGGAGCAGAACTTGCAAAGTTCTAGGTGGAAAAGACTGGCCATGGACAGGTCAGTCCCCGAGGCAACGGCTGGGGCCCTAAGGCTTGTCCTCCTTGCCTGTTGGCGGAACGAAATAGGTGAAACCACACTTGAAGAGGAAGCCGAGGAAGTCTCGGGAGCTGCCTATAGATTTCCCGAGGCCGGGAGATTGGGCAACCCGTGGAAAGTCAGCTTCGCGTAGGTGCGAGAGGGTAGGGATAATGATAAGCTCCCGCCTTCCACCGCGACTTTGCACTGTGCTGGGCGCCTTCACGCCACAACCTTGTGGCTTCAGAGGTGGGAGGAGTAGACGATAGCGCGGCATTCCAAATACTAAGTGATCACACTGGGATCTAAGCCCAGACTCTGAAAAATATTTTACTGCAAATATTAGTGCATATTAATTGTACATATTAATGGAATTCACTGGTCACGTTTTTTTTAAAATTAAAAGTGCGAGTATCAAATAATTAAGTTAACTCTTAATGATTCTGATAGCCGCCTGCGACAACGATTGAGTTATTTAAGGTCCTTAGCTTCGGGGAATTTCATTGTGTAGTGGAGGAGACAACCGACCATTGTAAAGCTGCTAGTGTGGGAAAAAGAAATGAAGGAGCAATTAAGTCACCTTTTAAAAAAAAATCTTTTTATTTTATCGTTTTTACATTTATTCACAAGCGTATACATTGTTTGGGCCACCTCTCTGCACCCCAAGTCTCCTTTTCAAGGAAGAACTTTGCAGCTGGTTTTCGAATAATAATACATTATTCTCAAAAAAAAAAAAACAAAAACAAAAAACCATCCAGTGCCTTTCATGTGACTGCCATTGTGCTGAGCTTTAAATAACTTATTTATTCTTCAGAACAATACAAGGACGTGTACTGTCACCCCCTTTTCATAGGAATACACTGAGACTGAAAGAGATTAGGAAAACTTGGTCAAAGTTAAGCTAATAAATAGAAGAACCAGATTGCCAACATGAAACTGTGTGTTGCCAGTCCCCAACAGGCTGGTTGATAGTAAGTATATTTATCAGGTGGACAGAGGAGCTCTGTAAAAGTAGATCTCTGTAAAAGAAAACAGGTTCAGGGGCAAGGGGCATGGCTTAAGTAGCACAAGTAGCAAGCACAGGTGGTTGAGTTGAAACCCTAGTACCGTCAAAAATAGAAAAAGGAAACATATTCAAAGGGTAAGGATTTGAAAAATGTGCATGCTTTGGGTAGCTGAATGGGCACATACAGTGTATGTTTGTGGGGGTCATGTTTGTGGCTGAATATGGGGCTGAACCCCTAAACTGGAGTTACATTGTAAGTATTATGCTAGGAAATACGAATTTGATTCAGTACACCAGAGAGAGTTATCTGAAGATTTCAGGTGAAGAAAAGCATATTGATTCTTGTTTTAAAACAAAACAAAACCCTGTGTCTTAATCCACATGATGCAGTTTATGGATCTTTGGATGAAAATGAGGGGTATCTGGAGCATTGCAATTTCAATGATGGTGGTACAGGAGACACCCTCAGTGTGCCTTGGAAGAAATAACTTGAAGGGTTGTTTCTCTCCAGTTTGCTAGAGCTCTTTTATTTACCCTTACATCTTGCCAAATCAACAGATTTTTTTTTCATGGTATTTGTGGTTTTTAAGTATAGTCGTGGCCACATAAGAATGTGTTGTCAACAAGAAGATACAGCAGTAGTCCTATTAAGATTATGTTGTCTAGTGATATCATAGCCATCTCAGTTTGTATAAGTATATTCTATGGTACTCACATGATGACAAAATTGCCTGAGACAGCCGGGCACCAATGGCTTATGCTTGTAATCCTAACTACCTGGGAGACCTAGATCAGGAGGATCAGGTTCTAGGCCAGCCAGGCAAATAGTTCTTGAGATCCCATATCTCCAGAATAACCAGAGCAAAATGCCTGGAGGTGTGGCTCAAGTAGTAGAACACCTGCGTTGTAAGCATGAAGCCCTTAGTTCAAACCCTTGTCCCACTAAAATATAAATGCCTAATGACACATTTCTGATAACCTGTTGGATCATTAAGCAACCAGTACATTACTGTATTTTGGAGATTGGAGAAGTCTTTTAAGAGATTTCTGCCATTAACTAACTCTTCAGTCCAACAAGGGAAAGAAAATTTTCCTTCACGAAGCAATTTTTTAAAATAGAATTATAGATTCCTTGTTTTGAAATAATTCAATACGACAAAAATAACATCAAGTGTGCTAAAAAAAAAAAAATCGAAGTTTTTGAGTAGCTAAGATTTGAGTGGGTCTTTGAACAATAAGCAGGATTAGGAGCCAGAGGTCCAAGACATGGCAAAAAGATCCAAGACTTGGCTGTGGGAGTAAACTGAACTGTGATGACTTGGTCTTTTGCTCCAATCATGATGGTAATGTTCTTTGCAAATGTTACATGAAAGAGCTTAATTACACTGTTTTAGGAGTGGCTTCGGAGAGATGTCATCCCCTGTAATCCGGGAGGCAGAAGTGACACGGACTGCGCGGAAACAGAGTGCTCAAAAAAGAGTTTTAAGTATCCTTTGCACTTTAAGAATCATACAAATTGCAGCATGTTTTAAATCAGTGTTGTAGAATTTTCTTTTTATTATAGGTATTAAACATTAGCTATAGTAAAATACTGTTTTACTGATTAGTAAAACTGATTAGTTTTGTTAATTTCACAGATATTTTATTTGCTAACTATAATGCTCTCAGTGAGATTAAGATACATGTTTCCCAGCTGGGCGCTGGTGGCTCTTGCCTGTAATCATAGCTGCTCAGGAGGCAGAGATCAGGAGGATCGGGGTTCAAAGCCAGCCCAGGCAAAATAGTTTGCAAGACCCTTATCTTGAAAAAACCCAACACACAATAAAAGAGATGGTGGAGTGGCTCAAGGTAGTCCCTGAGCTGAAGCCCCAGTACCACAAAAAAAAAAAAAAAAAAAAAAGTGTCCCTGAAAAGAAGTATGACTGTCATATTGTGGTTGACTTCTACTGAGATTAAGTTCCTGCTTTTTTGTTTTTTTTTCTTTTTTGAAATCTGACAAAGAACTCTCAGGTGAGTGTGAATTTAAGTGACAGAGAAAATAAGTTTTCTGTGCAGAAAAGGTGGTAGTCATAAAATACCTTGTTCTTGAAAATGTATTCACATATTTTGTGTACTAAAATTATGGTTAATTCTCACTTTAATGATCTCTTTTCTACATGGAAAGCTTTTCTTAACTCTTCATAAAGTTCGGGCCTCCCAAGATGACAATTTTGGTAATACTACACCAAGAAACCAGATTATCCCTCGAACTCCCAGCTCATTTCGACAGCCTTGTAAGATTTTTTTTTTTTTGCCTTGAAAGCATTTACTAATAGCTGTAATAGCAGCTAATATTTATTGTGCACATAATAGAATATTTGGTTACAATATCAATAAGTAGGCACAAACAGTATGATTACAGTTACTTGTTGAACTCGTGTCATGAACAAGGCACTATATGTTACCTAAATACACAGGGACTATGACATAGATATTGCTATCTCTGTTTTACCAAAACCAGACGTGAAACGTAAAGAAGTCAATATGGTTCATAACTATTGTTTGAATTCTAGTCCCATTATTTAGATAATGTTATTATCAAACAATAGTCTGTTTACTCTAAAGCACAAGCCTGCTAAACTGCACTGCTTCAGTATGCTTTACAAAATTAGAATATGAAGGAACCATTGAATGTGTCTTCTTGTTTTTTAAATTGCTCAGTTATGTTATAATGAAATCATCTGTAGTAAAAATTTTTCTTAACACGCTCAAATGTACCAAAAGCTCAAATTTAGAAGATAAGTTAAATCTTCATATCACGGGAATGTTATCATTCAAAGTATTTATTTGGTTAGAATCTAAATACTTGAAAATTAAAAAATTATTCTTTATTGCTTTGTTTTGATGATCAGTGCTCGTGTCTTTTGGGTGCATTTTACTCACCTCTCATTTGTAGTTGCTTCACTGAATCGAAGCTTACTAAGGCATCCAGAGTTTCCTGCATTTCTTGGAAACAGGAGGGAGGTCTCCCCGGCTTACACAGTCTTCGGGGTTCTTGGAAATTTGTCCATGGTATGTATAAAATTAGGGCTAAAAATTTCTCTCTTTTAATATTTGGTTTAAAAACCTCTTAATGAAAATTGAAGATAGTCATCATAAAAATAAATTTAGGTTGTGTGGATTGATACAGTTGGTTAGATATGTGGACAACTGAAATGTTCAAGAACCTCTAATCACAGGTGAAAATGGCAACAGCAACATTTGTGTGTGTGACAACCACACACACACACATACACATACACAAATTTGGTCACAGAAGTGATTTTGTGAGAGTAAAAAGGGAATTTGAGTTCAGTTTTGTACTCAAGGGGTAAATGGGAAATTTTTTAAAAAGTAGACGAGATGCTTTTTAGCAGTCACTATGGTACAGTACTGAAAATAGGGGAAGAAATGCTAAATGGCAGTGCAGAATGATTTCGCCTAGGTATTGAAAATAACCTATACAAAAAGAGCATTGTGTCTGAGAAGAATGAAACAAAAGAGCTTTATTATAGTAGCAGAGTGTTATGGCACATTTAGTTCCAAAATAAAAATGATTCCTATTTTTTGCACTGTGCTTTACTAAATAAAGCACAGATGTTTTTATACACACATGAGATTCTCTAAATTAGGTGTTGCCTGAAGGATGGTTTTACCTGTTAAATCTCTCCTTGTCATAGAAGATTAAAATCTCTTTTTTTTTTTTTTTTTAAGATGTTGGGGATTGAACCCAGGGCCTCTCACATTATAGACCAGCATTACTACTGCTAAGCTACAAGAGCCCCAAATCCATCTTGGGACTGGGGATGTAGCTCAGTGCAAGAGCATGTGCTTATCATGTGCAAGACCCTGGGTTTGAACCCCAGCATTAGTCATCGAGTAATTTTCCCTACTAGTGAAACTGCTTTATTTTGACAATGTTTATCTTGTTCTACTTAAAAATATGACTGAATTGCCTGCCTCTGGGTTTAAATAAAAGAAGATGGCTTTTATAATTGCATTAATTCAGAACTCTAAGACTAATAATAAAATTGTTGCTCTTTTAAAGGCAAACAGAAAATATGTATTGCTTATTATAAAATACTTAGAAATTAGTTTTGTAGTTAAAGATATTTTCCTGATTTATTTTGTCCTTTTTTTTTAAAATTTAACTTGTGGTACTGGGGTTGATCTCAGGGTCTCATGCTGCTAGGGATGCACTCTGCCACTTGAACTATGCCCCAGACTTTTATTTTGCCAATTTTAGTGTCAGCCATGAAAGGTAGTCTTAAATATAGGTTGCCCTTAAAGTGAGTAAAATTATTTACTTTGTTAATATCTTTTACCATATGTCTGAAAGTATGTTTCTGAAAGCAGCGTATCGTTGCCATTTAAGACTTTCAGCTTGATCCTTACACTAAGGGTGTTAGGTATTGAGAAGGAAAGGAAATAGTACTCAGTGTTCAATAATACCAATTGAGCTCTGCAAAGCCCTAGTTACTCCCCCATGAGCACCTAGCTTTTTTCCTTGGGGAATTGATTTAAAGATAACATTTTTCTTACTGCTCATGCCTGGATTTTTTCTTTGCCCTTTTTGAAGAAGAGCCTGGTTGTATAGCCCAGGCTAGCCACAAACTCATGATCCTCTTACCTCAGCCTCCCAACTGCTAGGATAATAGGCATGTGCTACACCATGCCTAACCTGGATTTTTCATTAAGGTGACTTAAAAAACTTCTTACAAATCTTTCATACATGTTCAAAGATAGAATAATGCAGTAACTCCCCATGTGCCCATTGCCCAGCTTCAGCAGTTACCAGCACATCGCTGATGAAGTTCATCTACACCCACATGCATTTCCTTTACATTACTTTATAACTTCTGGATATTCTGCCATTCTATTCATAAATACTTCTGTTAGTATCTTTGATACACAAAAGGATACTTCAACATAAGTGCCATACTGTTAACACATCTAACCAACCAACAGACAGTAATTCCTTTACCAGCTCAAATATCCATTATACATATACAATCATGCATCACCTAATGAAAGAGATGCCTTCTAAGGAATGCTCTTTGGGTGATTTTGTTGTACAAACATAGAGTATACTTGCACAGACTAAGATGGCTACAGTGTCACTAGATGATACAATCATAGGACCACTGTCTTACATGTGGTCTGCTTGTTGACTGAAATGTTATGTGGTCCGCGAGTATATATTTCATAAAGTGATTGGATTCCTTCAATTGTGCCAAATTATCTTTAATTGTTTTGTTGAAATTAGGATCCAAACAAAGTCAACACTTTGGGCATTTGCTTGAGTCATTCTCTTAAGTCTTGTAGTCTGTAAGTTCTTCTCTTATCCTTTTTATCATTACCATTCATTTGTTGAGGAAACTACCTTCTATCCTGTACAGTTCCCCAAAAGTGAAAGATTGAGATGAACTTACAAATAGGACCTTATTTTACCGTTAATATCAGCTTAAATTTTTACAAAATATAATATTCACTGGCTTTTTTAAAAGCATGGAATAGTATATAGAACGAAAAAATATAAAAAAACCATAATTTCCTAAAATTATTCCTGTTGGCTGTCTTTTTAAAAAATGAAAAACACAGAGTCTGGAGGTATAGTTCAAGTGGTAGAGCACCTGCCTATCAAGTGCAAGGACCTGAGTTTAAACCCCAGTACCACAAAAAAAAAAAAAAAGAAAAGAAAAACACATGTAAAAAGTTTCAAAAAAACCTTAAATCTTTTTTTTTATTTTTTTAAATTTTTTTATTGTTTTATTATTCATATGTACATGCAAGGCTTGGGTCATTTCTCCCCCCTGCCCCCACCCCCTCCCTCACCATCCACTCCACTCCCTCCCTCTCCCCCTCTACCCCCTCAATACCCAGCAGAAACTATTTTGCCCTTATTTCTAATTTTGTTGTAGAGAGAGTATAAGCCATAATAGGAAGGAACAAAGGTTTTTGCTGATTGAGATAAGGATAGCTATACAGGGAGTTGACTCACATTAATTTCCTGTGCGTGTGTGTTACCTTCTAGGTTAATCCTTTTTGATCTCACCTTTTCTCTAGTTCCTGGTCCTCTTTTCCTATTGGCCTCAGTTGCTTTTAAGGTATCTGCTTTAGTTTCTCTGCGTTAAGGGCAACAAATGCTAGCTAATTTTTTAGGTGTCTTACCTATCCTTACCCCTCCCTTGTGTGCTCTAGCTTTTATCATGTACTCAAAGTCCAATTCCATTGTTGTGTTTGCCCTTGATCTAATGTCCACATATGAGGGAGAACATACGATTTTTGGTCTTTTGGGCCAGGCTAACCTCACTCAGAATGATGTTCTCCAATTCCATCCATTTACCAGCGAATGATAACATTTCTTTCTTCTTCATGGCTGCATAAAATTCCATTGTGTATAGATACCACATTTTCTTAATCCATTCGTCAGTGGTGGGGCATCTTGGCTGTTTCCATAACTTAGCTATTGTGAATAGTGTCGCAATAAACATGGGTGTGCAGGTGCCTCTGGAGTAACCTGTGTCACAGTCTTTTGGGTATATCCCCAAGAGTGGTATTGCTGGATCAAATGGTAGATCAATGTCTAGCTTTTTAAGTAGCCTCCAAATTTTGTTCCAGAGTGGTTGTACTAGTTTACATTCCCACCAACAGTGTAAGTGGGTTCCCCGCATCCTCACCAACACCTGTTGTTCGTGGTGTTGCTAATGATGGCTATTTTAACAGGGGTGAGGTGGAATCTTAGTGTGGTTTTAATTTGCATTTCCTTTATTGCTAGAGATGGTGAGCATTTTTCATGTGTTTTTTGGCCATCTGAATTTCTTCTTTTGAGAAAGTTCTGTTTAGTTCACTTGCCCATTTCTTTATTGGTTCATTAGTTTTGGGAGAATTTAGTTTTTTTAAGTTCCCTATATATTCTGGTTATCAGTCCTTTGTCTGATGTGTAGCTGGCAAATATTTTCTCCACTCTGTGGGTGTTCTCTTCAGTTTAGAGACCATTTCTTTTGATGAACAGAAGCTTTTTAGTTTTATGAGGTCCCATTTATCTATGCTATCTCTTAGTTGCTGTGCTGCTGGGGTTTCATTGAGAAGGTTCTTACCTATACCTACTAACTCCAGAGTATTTCCTACTCTTTCCTGTATCAACTTTAGTGTTTGTGGTCTGATAATTAAGATCCTTGGTCCATTTTGAGTTAATATTGGTGTAGGGTGATATACATGGATCTAGTTTCAGTTTTTTGCAGACTGCTAACCAGTTTTCCCAGCAGTTTTTGTTGAAGAGGCTGTCTTTTCTCCATCGTATATTTTTGGCGCTTTTGTCAAAGACAAGTTGTTTATAGTTGTGTGGCTTCATATTCAGGTCCTCTATTCTGTTGCATTGGTATTTATGTCTGTTTTTGTGCCAGTACCATGCTGTTTTCTTTGTAATATAGTTTGAAGTCGGGTATCGTGATACCCAAAGCATTGTTCTTTTGACTGAGTATTGCCTTGGCTATTCGTGGCCTCTTGTGTTTCCATATAAATTTCACAGTAGATTTTTTAATGTCTTTAATGAATGTCATTGGAATTTTGATGGGAATTGCATTAAATATGTAGATTACTTTTGGGAGTATAGACATTTTTACTATGTTGATTCTATCCATCCATGAGCATGGGAGATCTCTCCACTTTCTACAGTCTTCCTCAGTCTCTTCAGAAGTTTATAGTTTTCCTTGTAGAGGTCATTCACATCTTTTGTTAGGTTTACACCTAGGTATTTGATTTTTTTTGAGGCTATTGTAAATGGAATTGTTTTCATACATTCTTTTTCAGTTTGCTCATTGTTAGTGTATAGAAATGCTAATGATTTTTCTATGTTGATTTTATATCCTGCTACCTTACTGTAGCTATTGATGATGTATAGAAACTTCTGAGTAGAGTTTTTTGGGTCTTTAAGGTATAGGATCATGT